GATAGTGCTTAGGGTGGCATTGCTGATGCTGGGTGGCACTTAGGGTGGGCATTGCTAATATGCAAGCAGCTGATTGGAATTTTTTTAAATTTTTATTTAAAAGGAAAAAGAGAAAAAACAAAGCAGTGTAAGGGTACAAGTAATACAGAACTACAAAAAAAAAAAAACAGTAAGAAATCACCGGTTAATAGATTACATATTATCATCTTAGAGATAGTTGCTCAAATCACAGTATCAAAGCATACAAAGTAGACACTCAAACAGTGAGACTGAAAACAGTTGTGTTCAATGATCCAACCAAAAACATTAATATGGTCAGCTATTTAACACCCCTAAACACTCTTGCTGTTGTATCATTTAGAACTCTTATTTTTTCCCTCTCTTTTTTACAACAAAATTTACACATTTTGGGTTTTATTACTCCTTAGTTCTTATTACTTTTGATTGGAATTTTCTTTGCATGCAAACAGGAGCTGTGGAAGAAGCAGGAAATAGCACACATTCCCGCTTTGGCCTTCTGCCTCGTTAGACCACTGCCATAATTTCTACTGAGGCAAGAACCTTTCAATTGTCTTATTGATTTTACTTTTTGGCCCATACATACTTAACTGTGTGGTGGTCTGCTTCCCGAGGTATGAAGGAGCCAGAGAAAATAATTTGGAAAGAAAAAAATTATTTATTAAAACACAAGCCTGGCGATGCAGCCTCCAGTAGCCAATATGGAAGACTGCATGCCTAACAGCTAAAGGGCAGGGTTTTTATCCCGTAAAACTGCAAACATCTGGTGGTCTCACAATGCAGGGGGAGTGGGTTTGTGGCGCATTACAGAACAGGAACATGGCGGTTACATTTCTTGGGAAGAGCAAGGTTCAGGTAAGGGTTGGGCTAACAAGCAAGTTTAGATTAGGCAAACATCCTCTGGGGAAGGCACATCCTGCAAACAAGCAAGTTATCCTGCAAACAAGCAAGTTACCCTGCAAATAAGCAAGTTTAGATTAGGAAGACATCCTGTTCTGCTCTTAGAGTTACCTTTGATCTTTCTCTTGCCTCCAAGGAGACTTATGAGGGTATATATATATATATATATATATATATATATATATATATATGTTACAACAACTGTTTCTTTGGCTTTGTATCCTCCAGACTTAAAGCTGTGCGCATACCCAAGGTGAAAATGCCTAGTGTCTATTGAGTCTCTAGACAGGATCACTGCAGAAGTACCTCTGATTGCATTCAACAACTGGCTTCTTCAGCCTGAAGAAGCTAGATTAGTCATCTGCCCATTACACCCTCATGGTTGTTTGGGTTACTTCTTCAGAGGGGAGATTGTTGCAGGCAGCTGAGTTAGTTAAAAATATTATAGGCAGTGAGACAGGGCTAGGTCCTCTATAGAAACAGTATAGATACCTAGCAGCTGTGGGAGAGACTGACACCTCCTGCTGTGGGCCAGGCCTCAAGACAAAAGACCAAACAAATGCACTCATGTCCTGAGGATTGATACTCTAAATAGTTCCCTATTACCCTGAGGAAGCCTGGAGTCACCATCCCATCATCGCCCTAGGGAAGAGTCATTGCTCCTTAAGAATGCCCACTTCCTATGTGACTCGATTCCCCAGTTGTCCTTAATCAGTTTTACCTGAACTATTGAGCTTATTGGCTAACTATAGTTATGTCCCACCTTATGCCCATCTACTTTGGGGATTCCCAGTTTTCCCTGCCTTGAACCCATGGTCTTACTCTCTAAAAGTCCCTGGAAAAACAGAGTCCTTGGAAACCCTCTTGGAACTCCTCCTGTCTCTCTCAGACAGAAGCTTTCTTTCTCTCAATAAATATATTCTGCTTTTAACCTCTGTTGTTCCTAAAATTTGTTCTTCGATTTTAGAGAACACGAACTCGCAGACATACTAAGTTGAGAGTTTCACTCCCCTATATCATCTCATCTTTGGCTAGTAGGAAGCCCTTTAAATTGGTTTCTGAATCCATTTGACACAACAGGTATCAAATTCAGTGGTCTTGAATAGCTTCTTTGCTTTCTGGTATAATATGTCCCATATAGATGTTCACTTTACATATTTCTGCCCTAGACTTGGAGACACTATCTTTGTAACGGAAAGTATTGGCAACTTTGTGTGTGTGTGTGCGTGAATTAAGCACAAAACTTTCACATTAAGCTATATTCCCAGCCCTTTTATATTGTTTAATTTCGAGACAGGGTCTTGCTAAGTAAGTCAGTGATGATGAATCTTTTAGAGCTTTTAATGATAACAAATAGCCCCCTGTGCCATGCATGCCATAGGTTTGCCACTGCTGATCTAAGAACTTCTGCCTCAGCCTCTCAGAGTGTTTGGATACAGGTGAGCACCACTATTGCCTGGGTGGATCTGGCATTTTATTTATTTATTTTTTACGGTAGCATGAGAATCTGGCACTTTAAAAAGTGGAAAATCCTATTATCCATAGGAGCCCTACCTACCTTCTGCTGGATTAAGGGCATTCCTTGTAGTGTGGTGTCTTCCCAACTCTGTCTCATGACCTATCCTTGTCTTCCAAATATGCTGAGCAATCTATCACTTTCCAGATAAGCTGTTCTCTCCCAATTTGGGACTTTGAGCAAGCTGAATTCTTTGTCTGAATGCCTTCCTTGTCCCTCCTGCTTTGTGCAAACCTTGCTCCTTCTGTAATTCCTTTACCCAGTTTGGCAGAGCTAATGTCTTAGACACTGTCATTTTAAGCAAGGTTGGTAATTTTCTGGAGCAGTCAAAACATATCGTTAAGCATTTATTAGTCACCTTCCTTCCTTGAGGATTGCTGTGTATTGACACATAAACAGCAGCCACCAAGCTTTTTCTATTGTGGCTGCTTCCCAAGCTTGTGAACTTTGGTTTCATCTCCTGCTCTGGCCTCTGATTAATTCATGTCACTAAAACATTTTACAGAGGACTCTGTGGTTGGATAACCTAAAGAATATTTACCAAGCAGCTGCTATTCCAAATGTGCTTTACACACATGAGTTTATTACAACCTTTGAAGCAGGTATTATCATCATTATACAGATCAACACAAATAAGTTTTTAGGGAGGGTGAAGTTCCCACAACCAAAGAATAGCTGAGTGAATTTCTTTAATGGGTCTCTAGAAGCCCTCAAAGTTTGCTCCTCATATCCCTGTGCCTCAGAAAGTGACCACTGAGCTCAGTATAGTCGTGCATGCCTGTAATCCATGCACTCTAAGAGGCTAAAGCAGGAAGATCACAAGTTCAGCTCAGTCTAACCTACCAACTTATCAAGACCCTGTCTCAAAATATAAAAATTTTTAAAAGCTAGGATGCAGCTCAGTGCAGAGACTCTGAGTTCAATCTACAGTAACCTCCCCAATCCCGTGATCCACCCACATCAGAATCCTCTCAGGAGCTCATTAAAATGCAAGCTCCTGAATTCTACCTCAGACCTACTGAATCAGAATCCAGAGAGACATGGATGGAAAACCGCATTCTAATCAGTTTCCTTGGGGGGCAATTTTATTTTATTTTACTTTACTTATTTATTTTGGTACCAAGGATAGAACTCACAATCTAGCACTTTCCAGGCAGGTGCTTATGTCACTGAGTTAAATCCCTGGCCCTGAGGGGGGAGGGATGGGCGGGGGAGGGGGGACTGCAATTTTAAACAACGCTTTTTGAATAGGCAAAGCACACACATACACTCTACTACATTTCTCAGTTGCCCAATTCTGAAACTCATTTCTTCCCAGAAGCAATCATTTTTCTGGGAGTGGTCAGTTCTCTGAAGTCTGAGGACCACCATTCTACTTACAGGATAGCCCAAGATGGGTAGGCCTTTGCATCACACAGCTCATAGCAGACTTACAGGTGTGATCACCATTCAAGGACAAGTGACCCAGATAGGGACCTCAGTCACCAGTAAAGGTAGCAGGGACTATTGTCTAGCACATATCTTGTCTCCTGGTTCTAGGGGCTTTTGGTCTGCTCTGTTCTGGCCACAGATTAATGCAGGAGGTAGTCCCTGGACAGGTGGTTTTGGAACCTCAGGCAGTTGAGTAGGGGCCAAAAGGACGCTGAGAAGATCTAAGCCGGAAGGGTCTGGATAGAAGCCCAATATACAACCTTTCAATTTGTATTTCTGATCCTTTGTAGTAGGCATCAAATCTTGCCCTGTGGATATTCTTTAAAATGATTTGGAAATTCTTTAAAAGTGGTTTAGCCTTTGGGGTCACAGCTTGCTTTGGAAATACTATGGAAACAATGAACGTCTCTCTAGAAAAATAAACTAGAAAACATTCACACCTACAATACTACAACCCAAGGATATCCAGGAGGCCCAATTTTAAGAACCCCACTTTTAAATGAATTCCGTGTACTCAAGCGATGTGTTTTACAAAATGCCCTATATGCTTTTAACGAACCTGAAGGATACTGTTACTCGCAGCAAAGCGCCCTGGCATGAACCAGAACCAGCTGCCCCAAGAGGCGATGACAGCGGTGCAGAAAACAGGCAATGGCTGAGATGGAGGGGGAGGGTGCGGGGCGGGGCAAGGAACGTTCAGCTTTCAGCGCCACCCAGCTGGGCCCCTGTACTTCAGGCACATTTGGTGGCTTTTGAATGCCACACCTGCTGAGCCGTCTACTTACTTCTTGGGTTTCAGGGAGCGAAGCCACACCGGCTGAGGGCGGGGCGCGCCCGGCTGACACAGCTGCGCGGGGAGCGGGCGGTCGGCTCTCAGCACTGTTCCCCAGCGCCGGCACCGGCTGGGCGCGGGCAGGCCCGAAGCGCGAGGTTGTCCCAGCGTCGCCGCTCGCGCGTCTTCCAGCTCTCGCCCGGGAGCTGTTTCCGCCACGCCTTCTTAGGGTGACCGCACCGAGGCAGGGCCTTGCGGCTCGAGGGCAGGGTAACAGCCGGCCGCCGAGCCGGGGCGCGGGGTGCAGCCGGGACCGCGGGGCGTGGGCGCGCGCCCCCTCCGCCCGCGGCGCGCACGTGACGGCCCCGCCCGCCGGGAGCCCGCCCGCCCGTGCAGCCTCGCTCCGCGCCCCGCCAGCGCCCGGCTCGGACGCGCTCTGGTCCGCGTGCTCCATGGGGAAAGCGGCCGCTCAGAGTCGAGGCGGCGGCTGCGGCGGCCGCTCGCGAGGGCTCTCGTCGCTGTTCACTGTTGTGCCCTGCTTGTCGTGCCACACGGCGGCTCCGGGCATGAGCGCTGTCACGTCCGCCTCCGGACTGGAGCCCAAACCTCAGCCCCAGCCGGTGCCCGCCCCGGAGCGGGAGTCGCCAGAGTACTTGCCGAGATCCGACCCTGGCTCCGAGACGTCGCCCGAGCCGCAGACAGACTCGGGGCAGGGGACGGAACTCCTGGGCTTGCGGCCGAGGTCGGAGTTGGGCGCTGGGTCGTTTACCAGGGCCTTAGCGGAGCAGCTGACCCCGCTGGGGTTAGTAGTGGAGAGCAAGCCCTTTCTCAAACCCGAATCTGGGTTGCTGCAAAAGCCTCTGCCTCCTCCGCGATCCGGACAGGGGAAGACGCCTCTTGGGCTTCCAGTGTCAGGGACTGGCTTGATCTCCAATGACCCAGTGGCCTCACTGCCTCTGGACAGCTACAAGGGCTGGCTTCTCAAGTGGACCAACTACCTGAAGGGCTACCAACGCCGCTGGTTTGTACTCGGCAATGGTCTGCTGTCCTACTACAGGTAGGGAAGTGCCCAGAATGGACATCCTTGGTGGGTCATCCAAGATTGGAGGATGGTGATGCCACAGTGATGATGACAGAGGGCCTTCAGGGTTGGAGGACAGTATCACTAGGCTAGGGATGTTTGGGCGCATGTTTGCCAGAGAACTGCAGACATGACTTTGGCAAGCCTTGCATTGAGGGTGTGTGTGGAGGTGGAGTAAAGGAATAACCTAGGGCCTTAGACCCTCTCTGGTATTCGTAGCTGGGCAGCTAGTTGGAGTTAGCCCTCCAAAGTCCTTGCCACTTTCTCGTTCAGGAACCAAGATGGTTGTGTGAGCTACTGAGGGAAACAGTTGCCTTGCCCTTGCCCTTGCCCTGTGCTGGGCTCATGGGAAGGGCTGCTGTTCCTCTTTAGGCAGTTGCTCAGTTTGTTTCCCACTTTTCCCCATGCACACTGGTTGCCAGGTCCTGGACTGGGTGGGCATAGCCAACTGACAGGGATATGGGACACAGTTCCTGCCTTTCAGGAACTAATTTTGGCATTTTGTGGAGAGCCAGAAAAGTGTTCTGCTGTCTCCTTTCCTATTCCAGAAGCAACATGGGGTTGAGAATTACAGTCCAGTGGTGACATAGCTCCCAGTATCTTCCCCCACTGAAACTGGTTGAAAGGAGGAAGTTCTTGAAAACTTCCTTCCCTTTTTTATTACTGACCCCTGGGTATCTTAATGGGATGATTAGTTTAAGCTTTTGACCTTAGATCACTCTCAACCAGTGGTTCTCAAATTTGAGCATGTATTAGAATTCTTTGAAGTGTGTATTGGAATGAAATGAATGAGTTTCTGTTCTTGGGCCAAGGTAGGGTCTGAGAGTTGGCTCAGCTAGTTCTGTCTGTGTGTAATTGTTTCTTCTCTTCTCCTCCCCTCCCTTCCCTTCCTTTCTCTTGTCTTCTCTTCTCTTCTCTTCTTTCTCTCTCTCTGCTACTGCAAAATGAGCCCAGGGCCTTTGCACTGAACTACCATTCTCAGACCTTTTTTCATTGTATATTTTAAGATAGGATCTTGCTGAGTTGCCCAGGCAGTGCTCAAAGTTGCAATCCTGCTGACTCAGTTTCCCAGAGCACTCAGATTACAGGCATGCACTACCTTGCTCATTTGAAAATTGGCTTTTTTTTTTTTTTGAGACAGGCTCTAGCTATGTAGTTGGGGCTGACCTTTAACTCACTGTGTAATCCAGGCTGGCCTCAAAGTGATGGCTATTTGCCTGCCTCAGCCTCCCAAATGCTGAGATTACAGGTGTGTGATATCACCGACAGCTGAGTGAGTTCAGCTCTCAAAAGCCAGCTCTTATGGAGATTGGTTTTACTATAATGTTTTCAATATCAATTTTGATAAAGTCACAGATATGAAGCTGAGTGTAGCTACTGGTCCTAGATGTGTCCTAAGGCTCACTCACTCCTGTGTTCAGCATTTCTGTATTATCTATATTTACTAGGTGATACTAAAAGGTAGTGGTCAAGGCAATGTTTATGAATGTAGTGTCTCACAGTTGCAGGAATACCCAATTCTAGTGAAAATAAAACCAACTTCATGCTTGTGTGTCTTTATTGGAATAGCCAAGATGCCCCATCTTTTTCCTTAAAATAATTGTGTGATAGAAAAATACAGTGAACATTTACGTTTAAAAAATTTATTACAGTAAAAGATACATTGTCATTAATCCCCCCAAAATACTTCCCCTTATTTTGAATATACTTACTGTTTTTGCCATTTTCTGAAGTAGTCGTGGAAGTCTTTTTTTTTTTTTTTAAGTCTTTTCTTGTGTGTGTCTTTGGCTGTTCTCTTGTAGTTGCCTTTGTATCCTAAGTGGTTCAAAACTTTTCCTTTCATGATAATTTTGACTTTTGGGGGAAGATCCGGAAGTTGTGTTATGTCTGATCTGATGAAAAAGGTGGGTAAATGCACATCATAATGTTTTACAAATCTGCTTTTCCATCGGATGATACCCAGCAGCAGCATTCACCATATTTTTAATCATACCTGTGAAGACACTCATGAGAGAGGGATTTTCAGAACTGCTTCAGAGAGCTGTGAGAACACTGGGATAAGAGTATTTGAAGCAAGGGCAAGTATTTTGAGGGAGGTTACTGGCAACATGTCTTTTACTGTAATAAGTTAATTTATTGTAATAAATTAATAACAATTTAATATTCATTATATATTATGGTCACCCCTTGTAGATGGTTGTCATTTGAACTAACTTCAAATTTGCAGATTATTCAGATAATTAGGAAAATTTCTGGCTGCTTACTGACTCATAAGATTGTGAAGACAGATCCTGGATTGAGGGGCAAGAGGGAGTGGAAACTCTGTGTGGGTGTGTGCATGGGTGCTCACACAGTCCAGATCAGAAATTTCATTTTTGGATTCTTCTAGATTCCAACATGGGCAACATTGTTGCCTGATTCACCTGGGGTGGAGGGACTGAATGATTCCTTACATGTGTGCAGCCTCTTGTTCTTGTTTAGCTCCATTTCAAGCTGGCTAGTGAACTGAGGCTGAATGAATGAACTTCAGTGACTTCAACAGAGGCACCAACTTATGAACTAACTATGTGTCTGAATGCTGGTGGGGATGAGTAAGTCAGGCTGCAGAAAAGTTCTTTTTGAAAAGTTCATTTGAGCTGAAATGGCAACTTCTCTGGACCCCAAGTCCTACTTTCTGAGAATGCTTTGGTCTCCTCCTCCATCTGCCTCTCAGCATTTTAAATATTTGATGCACTCTCCTGTCCCTACTTCTGATCTGAATCCCTCCTTGTAGGCTAACTGTAGCCATCCTGCTAGCCAAGATCAAGGATCAAGCATCCTCCTTGTAAGCCTGACAGCAGCAGGGTGCTTTGCTGAACTGGATTCCTCTGTTATCTCTTCTTGTCTCCTCATATGCCCAGCTCTCAGTAGTTTGCCAAGTATGTTTGGCTTGGATAAAGGCAAGATTTGGGTGCTTGTGAGCTGAAAACAGTGAAAGAATTTTTAATTCACAGTCTCTTTTCTGTAAGGGGGGTAGAGTCCAGCTTCCCAGTGGTAAGTATGGGTGATGGAGAAGGAATCAGGTGTTTCTCTAGCTACCTTTTCTTCTCTAGTTCCTTCTCTTTTGGAAAGAACATTTTGAGTTTTAAAAAGAATTTTAACATGAAACATGATGACTGGAGAAAATGTAGGCACCTCTTTCATGGGCCCTCTGCTATCTATCCCAGATTTATCATCTGGCTTTTGTTTTGTTTTTGAGACAGGGCCTCACTTTGTAGTTCAGGCTGGCCTTGAACTCACAATTTTCCTGCCTCAGCCTCCAGAGTGCTTGAGATTAGAGGAGTTGTGCCCCATGCCTGCGTCATCTGGGGTAACCAGCATCTTAAATCTTAGTCACCCTCTTCTTTGTTTGATCCCATCAACATAAAATTTTAAAAGCCCACTAAAAAATGTAACTTTTTTTTTAGTTTATAAAAAAGGTCAGTCAGTCTGTATCCATCCATCCATCCATCTGCTTGTCTGTCTGGATTTCATGGGATTTGGCTTTTTTTTTTTAAATAGTGCTTAGAAATGAACCCAGGGCCTTTGTGCTTTACTACTGAGCTAGCACCTCACTCTCATGGAGTTATTTGGAATGTTGTATAAAGTTCAGTGTGGGTATAGCCCTCTTCATGCATGTTATTCTGGCTCATTGTGGAAATCCTTGCACACATGTGACACTTCATTTTGGGTGAAATCACTGGTTTTGAGAGAAAGTAAATGTTCACCTTACATAATGCTAAATTGCCTCCCAAAGCATTAGAACAATTTATACTCCCACCAGCAGTGAATAAGAGATTCTGTGTATTTATAGCCTGTGCAACACTTGGTATCATCAGGATTGATTTTACCAATCTAACTGGTATACTATTATATCTCATTGCAGTTCTTTTCTTCTTTTTTCTTTTTTGTACCAGGAATCAAACTCAGCGCCTTGAACTTCCAGGCAGGAACGAGTCGCTGAATTATATCCTCGGTTTCCCTTTTTTTGAGATGGGGTCTTGTTATTATAGTTCAGGATGCCCTTGAACTCACTATGTATCCCAGGCCTTGCACTTGTGGCAGTTCTCCTGTTTCAGCTTCCTGGGTGCTGGGAATATAGGTGCGTGCCACCACACCTGGCTCATTAGGGTCTTGGCCTGCATTTCAATCCTCATCATTTTTGCCTTAATAGAAAAACAATAGGAGTTTAGGTAAAGATTTTTCCTTTAGATGTGGCTTCTTCAGGTCATTTTGTCTTGGATTTTATTTGCAAAGCTCTTGGATGGCAAGTGTGAGGCCCTGAGTTCAATTCCTGGTATGAAAACCACTCCCAAAACAAAGAAAAACTCATTTGATTGCTTAAGTGTATTCTAAGGGAGATAGTGCATAGTGCCAACAGGTGAACTTAGTAACATTTGTATTATCCAAAAAGTGGTCCTTGTAAATACTTCTGTATGTGAGAAGTATTTCTGAAAGCTACGGGTACTCGTCAGCAGATTTTTACTTCTTTCCAATAATGTGCTAGGAATATCAATAAGAGATGAGGTTTTTATTCCCTTGCTTGGCACTCTTAATTATTTCTATTCAGATACTAACAAAGAGAATTTTTTTTTTGCATTCCATTGTTCTAGTGTTCCCATTTTAAATATTTTATACCTAGTTCTTGTCTCTCAGGGGATATATAATTACATAAAATTAGGGTGAAATTCATAAAGGATAAAAAAATTTTCATAGATATTTGCTTTGGCAAGTCCTGATGGATTGAAACCCCCATTACATAGGAGGCAAGAAGATTGCAAATTTAAGGCCAACCCAGGAAGCTTAGTGAAATCCCATCTCAAAAATAAATAAATAAATAGGACTTGGGTATAGCTCAGTGCTCCCTGGGTTCATTCCCCAGTACTAGAGGGAAAGAAAATAAATATTCTGAATAGAACCTTTATCCACATTAACAGCAAAATCGATTAGATTTGGCA